GTTGCTTGCTCAGTTGGAGCCACAGTATAAATGACAAATGATAACACAATTACATTGGAAATGCCTGTGGAAGAGTTTATGCTCTGAACTGGTTGTTTCTTATTTTGCAGGCTATCACTACATCTGTTTGAGGAATGAGAGGAACCAGCCTTTGACACTGCCAGCTCTCTTTGTGTACATAGAGGTCAAAGACTATGTACCTGATACTTATGCAGGTAATTCTGTAATGTTTTCCTACTGGGAAATATAAAGGTTAATTGAAACACAAAATGAATGTGTGTAGATGACTTGCCGTGCTGGGATAACAGTCCTGTGAACAAACCTCTGCATCTGATGGATCATTATGTCTCATCACTCATACAAGATGGCCTGATTTACAGCGACCTGCCTGAGGTTTAGGATTAGGGCCAACTCTTATTTTCAGCAGACCTTAAACGACTCTAAAGGAGGAAATACCCCAGGCATTTGCCATTGAAACACGAATGAAACTTTGCTTACACAACAGAGTAGTATGTAATTGTTTCCTAAGCCAAGTGCCATGCTTAATGTAGAGCATTGTATTCCGGAATCGGCTCTAAACAAGGATAGGTTTAAAAACCAGACTGTGTGTCTTCAGTGAAAAACAGTATTCTGTATAGCTATTTTGATATTTATTTTTTTTAATAAAAACCAGGATTTTTTACTAATGCTCCTCTGTGCCTCTTATGAAGCAGGTTCCTAGTTGGCTGATACTGTAAGCTTGGAAAATCCATCCTCAAACACTGTGCAGAAAATGCACATCCACGAGGCCTAAGCACAAACTCAAAGAGGGTTCGTGTTGGAGTGTTTATGCATGATGGTGTACTCCCCTCCACTGTTGGTTCTGGGTCCTAGGAGTACCTATCAGCAGCAGAGCTGTATGAAAAATACTGTCTCTTTCTTAAAACCTGGGGACCTCTGGAACCATAACATAAGGAGTTTGAAGTATTTGCGTTCTTTCTAGATGTGATCGAGGCCTTATCCAATCCAATCAGATATGTAAACTTGATGGAGCAGAGAGCTAAGCAACTGGCCGCACT